TGATAATTTCTGCTTTCTCAGAACCAAAATCCTAATTTGGAGATAAATCCTTCACACGTTCTTTTATTCCAAAAGGATATACAACTTCAATGTAAGTTTAACATAGAGAGAACCAAAAGGAGATGGAAGGCTCTCATTATTTTCATGGTTACATATTCTAATCTTTACCAAGAACTCAGTCATCATCCTAAACACACCTCATGTAGAAAATGTTATTTTATGCTTTATGTCTGAAGTAGGTAACAAACATCTTGGCAAATTATAAATTGGTACTTTGTTTTTCTAAGCAAAGTCTAGAGTGAAGCACATCTTTGTCAGAAGTTTTATGCCTGTGTGTTCTGGAAAATTTAGCCCAAGACATTCTAGATGGGACACCATGCAAAGTGGGGAGAAGTCTAGGGGATACCTCTGTTATGGCATCAGGATAGGAAAAGAGTGAACATTGACTCAAGATTCCTATTATGTCTCTCTGACTCCAGATAGAGTAAGATCAACAAGCAATATCCTGCTCAGTTACTCATATTCGTTTTTCTCTCACTATCTTCTCCAAAAGTCTTTCAGTTATACACAATAAACCCTCAATGACAGAACTTTGGTGCCCTTAATAGTTGGAGTGAATTATAAATCATCAACTCATTTAGAACCGGTTTTCTTATAGGGAAAGTAGAAATTTGTTAAGGAACAAACTATTCCATTTCTAGATTATTCCATGTGTTAACTTCCGATGTATTGCTCCTGGCTCCTTGATAACGATTTTCCTCCATTTTCATTGGGTTTGAAAGAAAACTGAACAGAAAAGGGAAAAGAAGATTAAAAAAAAAAAAAGAAGGATGGAAACCTTTAGATCATTTACACGAAAACACAAATTGGTGCATGTACACAAATGTAAGGGATAATTATTAAGCATATTCAATTTTTCTTGTTAGCCTCTTTTATATATACTACTATTATTTAATGAAGAAGTCTTAAGATAATAGTGCTCTCTCCTTAGCCCATAAAAGTTCTAACTACTGAATAAGCTCTCATTGCTAACTAGGCCCAGGTATTGGTGGTCAACATTGTTAAAGAACCCATCTTCATTTTGAGTCATTTTAGACAAAGAAAATTGTCAGGGTGAATTTAGGAAGAGGGAAAAACAAGCACAACACAAAACAGAGAAGCACATTGAAGTCCCTCAAGATTTAATCCTGGAGTTATTTATTTCAGACAAATTGCTTCTGGAAAGCAAAGACAGCATATGAAAGAAACACGGAGCTGTTTGGTGGTCCCTTCTGAGGGCCCTCTCTGTGTGGTCTATAAGTACTCTGAGAATGAAGGCCTGTTTACCAGGAATTGATGTCTCTTTAGTTCTAGATGTTAAGACAGCTGCCAGCTTGGAGACCTGCCTGGATACTGATTTATCCCTTTGAAATTTTCCCAAGTTTATTTGTTTTATTTATTTATTTTTCTAAATCTGGTATGATTTTAGCAGATAATTCCCATGTCTCTTCCAGAGTATTCTTACCAGTAGAATTTTAAGACAGGTCAGTTCTCTTTTTTTTTAATGGCTGGGTAGAATATACTTCCCAACTGTGCGCTTAATTTCGGAGTTTACTGAGAGGTTTAAGAGGTTAGCTGCCCCACTAAATAATACCTCCCTTTACTTAGAAGAGATTAAACAGTACAGTGAGCTCTGTTTCTACCCTCCTCCCCACCTTGTGTATTAAATTATTTCCCTGTTCATCTGAGAAGAAATAATTTTTAAAAAAAATTATGGCCTTTATTTCAGAGTGTATTTTTTTATTCCTAAACGCAAAAGTTAGGAAATTCTAAGGGAGAAAATGGTTATCATATATTTATTCCTAAATTCCTCTAAGATTTTACTATCTTATCACACAAAATACTCTCCAAACATTGCTATAAAAATGAGAAGACTTGTGAGCACTTTCACTACATGTTTTTCCAAGAAAGAAACATTAAAAGTTTCCTTTCACTGTGTATGATGTGGTGTTATAAAAAATGAGAATGAACATTAGCAGGTTCTTGATGTCACACATGTTTAGCACAGATACCTCGGGCAAAAAGAACCCTATCTAGTATTTTACTTGTTCAGGCTCTGGAAGAATTTGGGCCCTAAATTGCTAACAGTTGTTGCATGTATATAATCTGAGATATTTGTGGTAGGTACTAGGAGAATCACTGTACTAGAGAATAGTGACAGGATGACAGGGGAAGGTCTCATGGTGGACAGATCAGCAAATGCACTGTTGAGCATTTTCAAACTCCAATTTGAACCTGAAGAGCATGATATGATAGAATCACCTATATTGATATTCATTCTGTCAGTATTTACTAAACTCTAACTACGTGCCTAGCTTTATGCTATAGTACTGTGGAGCATAGTATTCTATGCTTTATAAGAATAAAGACATGGTCTCTATTCTCTACAGTTTATAGATTAGGGTAGAAGTCAACCAACAATAAGAAAACAAAATATTCATTATAAAAATTAGAATGCTATGAGAATAATATATCAAGTATCCACTCTAGAAGGATAATCTAGAAAGGACCTTTTGTGGAGATCAGTTTTAAATGAGAACTGAAAGATGAGAAGGATCTCATATGTAAAGCACAAAGAAGAAGGTTATAGACCAGAATGGAGGCTTTATTTAATGGCAGAGCCTGGGACCAGACTGCAGGTCTACACAATCTGAATCTGCATTTTTTTTATTATTTATTTATTCTAATTTGTTAAACACAATGGCAGAATGCAGTCATTTCACATTACACATACAGAGCACAATTGTTCAAGTCATTGATTGTACACAAAGTATTTTCACACCATTCGTGTCTTCATACATGTAATTAGGGTAATGTTGTCTAACTCATTCTATCATCATTATTGCCCCTTTACCCCCTCCATTCCCCTCTCTCCCCTTTTCCCTATCTAAAGTTCCTCCATTCCTCCCATGCTCCCCCTCCATCACCATTATTAGTCAGCATCCTCATATCAAAGAAAACATTCAGCCTTTGTTTTTTGGGGATTGGCTTACTTCACTTAGCATTATATTCTCTAACTCCATCCATTCACCTGCAAATGCCATGATTTTATTCTCTTTTAATGTTGAGTAATGTTCCATTGTGCATATATACCAAAGTTTCCCTATCCATTCATCCAATGAAGGGCATCTGGTTTGGTTCGACAATTTAACTACTGTGAATTATGCTTCTATAAACATTGATATGGCTGTGTCTCTGTAGTATGCTGTTTTTAAGTCCTTTGGGTATAAGCTAAGGAGTGGGATAGCTGGGTCAAATGGTGTTTCCATTCCAAGTTTTCCAAGGAATCTCTATACTGCTTTCCATCTTGGCTGCACCAATTTTCAGTCCCACCAGCAGTGTATGAGTGTGACTTTCCCCCCCACATCATTGCCAACACTTAATGTTGTTTGTATTCTTGATAGCTGCCATTCTGACTGGAGTGAGATGAAATCTCAAAGTAGTTTTGATTTGCTCTTCTCTAATGGCTAGAGATGTTGAACATTTTTTCATATATTTGTCGATTGATTGTATATCATATTCTGAGAAGTGTCTGTTCAGTTCCTTGGCCCATTTATTGATTGGGTTATTTGTTTTTTGGGGTGTTAAGGCTTTTGAGTGCTTTATATATCCTAAAGATTAGTGCTCAATCTGATGTGCTTGTGGTAAAGATTTGCTTTCATTCTGTAGGCTTGAATCTGCATTTTTAAAAGATCCTAAGGTGTATAATATATATAGTAAATTATATAGTAAATTTGAGAAATAGAAAAATGATCAATTTGCCACATGGAAGTCATTGGTTAGATGGGGAGAGGGTATTGGTTAAGTAAGGTGGAAGCCAAGTTGTAATGAGCTGAATGACCAGATGTCAGGGGTGAACACAACATTATACTAACTTATTACAGAAGTCTGACGTGGGATAGGGGCTGAAAAGGAATGTGTGGTCAAGAAAGAAGTTATTTAAGATTAAAGATATGCATTTGTGTGCATGAAGATAATATCTAAATGAGAGGGAGAATGATGATGAGAATATAGATAGAATGTCTAAGGGTCAGAGTCTTTGAGATTGCCGGACGCATCAAGATGCAGTCAGTCTGTGATGGGAGAAGTGATACTTCCTACACCAGAACAAGAGGGAGTGTGTAAACCATGTGTGTCCTGTACATTTACTGAGAGGAATATGAGCATCTTCTTGCACACTAATTGTCTCTTATCAGTGAAGATATGTCATGCACATCAGCTGTAAACAAGGAGGAAAGAGGGGTGGGGATTATGAAAAGTGAGAAATTATGAGATAATCTTGCCAGAAAAAAACAACAGGTTGATAGAAAACTGTGGTAGAATTGCTAGAAAGTGTTTAGTGTCTACTTAAATTTAGTCACCAAAATTTATAGTGGAATCTGCACAGTTACATGATTTTGTTTGTCTCGTTGTTGCTGAAGTTTGTGGTTACCAGTACAAAGGAAGCAGATCTCTGGGTTCATGTAAGGTTGGGGTGAATATCAGAAGCCATCCTTTAACACAATAACATGTCTAAATCAACTTTTTCTGTCTACTGAAGCAGAGGTTGGATGTAGATGTTTAGCTCAAATTACAGTAACATGGCACGGATTATTACCCTTCTCTATGCCCAACTTCTCTATGCATAACAATTCTATGGTTTAGGTATTATCAGTCCCATTTTACTAATGAAAACTGAATATAAAAAGGGTTCACTAAATTGTAAGTAAACTATAATTTAGAGTCAAATTAAATTCCATTTAATAAGATCTGCTTAATGCCTGCCACCAGAGTCATTTCATTATAATAATGAAAGAGATTTTATAAAAGGAAAAACATTTTTTTTTGCATGTAGGTTTTACTCTATTTTTCTTTTCTGCAGCAAAAGCCAAAGCTGCTGATTTTCACTAAACGTTTTATTGTTTTTTCCCTTCTGGGTGGCAAGAAATTGAATGAAACATGACCTGTGTTTTCTCTTTTCAGCTTTATACACTTAGCAAATAAATATGCAACTTTGGAAAACTTTCTTCTTACATTTCCTTATTCCTGTTTGAAAAGTCTGAAAGGAAGGTTCAAGCCAGGTATGTAGGGAGATACTTTGTGTGTGTGTGCATGTCTGTTGATGTGTTAAGGATCAAACGCAGAGCCTCTCACTTGCTAGGAGGTGTTCTACTACTGAACCCTTATTGGGTTTTGGGAAAGTCTTCTAAGGATTAATCTATGGCATGATACTACTTTCCTGGCAAAATATGGGAGATATGTCACTTATTGGGACTAGTGTAAACAACAAAAAAGTTGAACAAAACAATTTCAATGTAAGTATCAGATATAGATATTGGACAACAAAGTCAAATGCCTATAGGAAGCTGGGAATGAAAGTTCAAGGAGCAAAGAAGACTGGGCAGAGCCTGTGGGGGAAGCATGTGGCTGAGCAACATGGGGTACCACTCATTTGTTTGAGCCAACTGATGCATGCAGGCTCAGTATTGCCAAATCCTTCCATGATTCAAGAAGAAATATGACCTAAAATGCTGTGGAATTTAGACACATTCAATTGTGAAATTGAACAACCAAGTGGTTTAGGTACATGAACCTCTGTTTTGCCACTTCTGATAGACATACTTTTAAAGCTGTCACAAGGATCTTAAGCACCAATGTTGAAAAGACAAACAACTCATAAAACCTTCTTTGGTCATTGTATTGTCATGTGTAACTAATTAAAACAAATTTTAAAAAATGAATTGTTTGAAAAATATGATCTATAGGTGGTTCCTGATTTATGATAGTTCAACTTAAGATTCTTCAACTTTATGATGGTACAAAAGTGATACATATTTAGAAGAATTCATACTTCAGATTTTTAATTTGTTCTTCCCCCCAGACTAATATATAGTATGATACTGGGCAGTGGCAGTGAGCCACATCTCCTTGTCATCGACAGGATCAGAAGGGTCAACAACCAACAGTCTACCGTGGACTGTGTTGCTGAGCTATGATGTCTGTCAAGTGAGGTGAATTAAGTACATCTTCCATTATGGTATTTTAGAATTAGTATGAATTTCCTGAGACCTAACCTAATGGTAAGTTGAGGAGACATCTGTATTGATATAATTTAGACAACTTTTAATTTATTTTTCAATTTAGAGAAGTTATTTGAGGAAAGGAACTACCTTCATGCCTGATGTAAAAGGAAATAAGAAAAGTTAGCATTATTTCTTATAAGTCATGGGTTTCTTTCTAATGAGAGGGTTACCAGTTCATAGGCAAAAAAAAAAAAAAATGCTTCCTTAGGAAAGAAAGCATCTTTATTCAGCAACGATTCTCTTTTATGTACCAAAGAATTCACAAACTTAATCAGTTTATCATAATGAACCTCCAGGGGTAGTACACAAAAGCATTATAAGCCCAGCATGCAAATTTTGCAACAATAATGATTTTGTGCTTCCTTCTGCATGAAGAATAATTTTACAACTTTAGGTTTCTAATAAATTAAGTACATAAATACACAAAAGCCACAGTGACAAAAATTGCAACCTATTAGCTAAAGTTCACATGTGATATTGTGTAATTTCATCTCAAGAGCACTAAAATTACAAATAAGGTTCAAATCTATGCAAATTTCTTGATGTTCTATAAATATGACTCAAACTTTAGTGATTTTACTTTTGGTCTTGAACTTCCTTTCCCTAACCAGGTGCCATACTACTATCAAAATTCTATTTGCTTGCCAAGCCCAACCTCAAAATAGTTTTCTCCTCAAGGATCCTAGTGACTGAAACTCTGTGCTGTATAGCTATTCACTGGAAATTCAGGTGTGCTAGGGTAGGATGATGCAGTATAGGATGTGGATTGCAGACTTTCTTTTTATATAATGGAAGAAGCCTAAAGGAGAGAGACTGACTAAACGTATTGCTTTGATGGTACTTTACAGAGCTGAAACCTCCAAGCAGTTTGAATCAATGACCATTCTTTGCTCTTCCATGTTGTTTCCCTAATAGTAACATGCAGGACCACAAAGATCAACCACCCTACAGAGCAAGGAGCAGGCAGAATCAGGAGAGAGTAGTGTGGAGCCCTGAGTTCATCCATCAAGGTCTTGAATAATGGCAAACTTCCTAAGAGGGGAGTTATCTTAAAAAAATAATAGAATGAACCTTGTTTTATAAGAAAAAAGTGTAGTTATATGAGAAATAAGAGGTCTTAAAACAGAGTTATTAATTTCTATGAGTATGACCTTTTTAAGTAGCCATATTACACTCAATTTTGTCAAATTTATAGTTATATAAGACGCCAATGGTCATTCTCACCATGACCCTCCCAAACATGCCTGCATCCTAATTCCAAGACACTGTGAATATATTACATTACAAGCAAAAGAAACTTTACAGATGTGATTGAGTTAAGCATCTTAAAGTGGGAAGATTATCCTGGACTATAGGGTTGAGCCTAATGTAATCATGATAGTTCTTACAATAGGAAAGGGGAAAAATCAGAGTTCAGGGAAGAAAATACGATGGTGGATCTAGAGATCAAAGTGATACGAAAAGAGGAATAGGGGACCCTCTAGCAGCTGCAAAAGGAAAGGAAACAAATTCCACCCCAGAAATTTCAAAAAAAAAAATACAGCTCTGTGGTTCCATTTTAGATTCCATAAATATAAGAAATACATTTGTGTTGTTTTCAGCTATTAGATTTGTGATCATTTGTTATGGGAATGATGTAAAATTCATACAAGTTACATGCCTTTGTGGCACAAGTTGTTAATAGAGTTGTTCACACCTTATTCTCTTGTCATTTCGTTTTTTAAAATGAAGACAAATTTTCACATTTGTCTCTATCCACTTTCATTCTATGTATTCTGACCTATGCACATTATAACATCCCTTGTTGTCTTCATTTGCTTTGACCAGAAGTAGAACTTAAGAACTTGAACATAAATAGATTATTTTGGGTAAAATTCTGGAAAACACTGGTGATAGAGAGGTGAGACAGGGTAGGGAAGAAAGATAATAAAAGGTCATGAGTATGGTGGGTCACTGGATCTTCAACTGCTGAGGAACTTGCAGTAACCAAGCAGAAGGAATATCTCTTAGTTTTCCCCATGGAGTTAAGGGATTTGAAGTATTCACCTACCACGTCTCACCAGCCCTTTGCTTGATGGCTGTTCTCGGAGACTAAGAGGAGGTGATAATTCCCCAGAACTTCTTCTGGCTTGCTCTGTTCCTAGGCAGAACAAACTCCAGTGTTAAGAGAAAGCCCCAAGACAAAGGATCAGTGTCACTAATGGAATTGCACCCAGAGTGCGTGGGGCCTCTAGAGGGGAGATGTGTTGGGGATTGACAGGTCTGATTCATAGCTGACTTTCTGAGACAGCCTTTCAGTTTTCTCTCTTTATCATCTGTTCCACTCTGTCAAGATTTGGGGATGTTTATAGTGCCAAGATTCCTCCTTTTACATTTATTGTTTATGTAAACTACTTCTTCCATTTTTAAATGACCCTTTATACTCATTTTAGACCACCCCCTGGGACAATGTGATCTAATGAACTAGCTTTTCTAACTAAATAGAGTAATGAACATATTTTCTGAATTATTTCTCCATTGCTTTGTACTTTTTTAAACTGCCCCCAACCATACGAGCCTATGACTTCTAAATTGTAGCCCATTATCATACCCAAGTTACAATGACATGAACCCGTAAAGCCATGTTTCCAAATCTGTGCTCCTCCTTGAATGTGTCTTCGCATTGTCTTTAAGCATTTCTCAGAAATCTCTCTGTAATATGCTTTAGGACAAATCCCCTGTCCTTTTCACTCTGGTCACCGGCTCTTGCTAGCCTGCTGCTGTAGGATGGTTTGAAAAGCTCAGTTATCTATTTGAGGTTCCCATACTGTTACTCCTGATGAAAACTCAGCACATGGACAGGACTCTTCTCTTCCTCTGTCTCTGCTTCTGAAGCTTAGGATAGGACTGGTTATCCACAGAACGACTGGTCTCCCTACGTTCATGCTTGTCCTTGCACCCTGTATTCTCCACACGGCACAAAGAAGCTTTGGTCTTCTTTGACAATGTATGTTCAGATCTTGACACCCGTGTTTGAACCTCCCCAATGGAATTCCTTCACATAGAATGAATTTCAATCCACCTTAGGCCTCAGGGGCCCTATGTAATGAAATCTCTGAGTTGCCTCTCCAGCCCTTTCCCTACTCCTCTCCTTTGCTCCTACACCTTAATACCTGGGCTTCCTCTGAGCATGCCACCCAGGTACTTTCTTCAGGACCTTCAAAAATGCTCTTCTAGTTGCATGGAATACTTTTCCCTCTGATATCCCTGCAGCTTGGTTAGTTCTTTCTTTGGGTTTCCTCAAACCAAGAGCACCACCCTCCCTGAATGTAGCACACTTCATGTCATACTTCAAATTTACCATTTTTCCTAGCACTATAGCACTCATTGCTGTCAGCTCCCATATTGTTTATAAATTTATTTATATTATTACTTTCTGTCTTCCCTTCTAAGTAAGGCAGAAACCTGGTCTGTTTTCATAGCTTTGTCTCTTGCCCTTCAAACAACACCTGCTCTCAGTAATATTTCCCATAAAGAAACTTTGGGCAGCTTTGTCTTTTAGATGGGTTTATTTTCCCTTAAAACATAGAGTTAATGAATGTAGGACACAAAAATAGGTTTTGATTTCTAATACAAGCTTGTTTTTCTTAGAGTAGTCAGGCCTAAAAACCCCTTGGGGAACCTACTCTCTGCCATCTCCACATGGTAGGGAGTGCTCTCCTGGCCCTGAGATTAATCCAGTATCTCCACAGATGGAAGCTGAGGTTGAACTGGAACTCAATAGCAGAAAAACAAAAGCAAAAATTCCATTCTCAAGTCCAAGTCCTACCACATTCTCTGCTTCTGGATTAATCCCCTTCCAAGACAACTGACAATGGATCATCCCTTCCCTTCTGGGAAGACAAGGTACTCTGACTTCTTATCTTAGAATACATATGTATAAAAGAGAACATTTTCTGTGTCTGGATTACTTGACTTTCCAATTCTGATTATGCTGCATCAAGACCTTCCTTTTTTCTAAACATTCTTCAGGAGAAGACACGATGGTCATATTCCTCTTTCACTGCTTCTTTGGTCTTCTCTATCTTCTTTGAGCACATTGCTTCAACAAGAAAACATTATTTCCTGAGATGTTTCAGTGAGCATTTTTGTCCCTGTTACTAAAATCCCCAACAAGAACAACTTAATGAAGGGAAAGTTTATTTGGGGTTCACAGTTTTAGTGATCCCAGTCCATAGACGGCAAATTCTATTGCTCTGGGTTCTGATGAGGCATCACTTTGTGGGGGAGGCCCAGTCAATGGAAACTGCTCAGTTGATGGCAGGGTCAGGAAACAGAGGGAGGAAGGAAAGAGCTTCTAGAAGAATAACCCTTCCAGGGCTCCCAGTGATCCACCACCTCCAGCCGCGCCCCACCTGCCTGTAGTTAACACCCAATTATTTCTCTCAAACTATGATGGACTGATTAGGACACGGTTCTCATAATGCAATCATTGTACCCCTGAACATTCCTAAATTAACAGGAGCTTTTGGGGGACACCAAACTATAGTCAATAATAAATGATAGTAGATAACCTTTCTGGTAAAGAGACATCTAAGTATGTAGTTTGAAATATATAGATAAACGGATAGATGTAGATGTTGAAATATAAATAAACCTGAATAACAAGACAATGAAACATCTCATAGTCGACACTATTTGACTTTTTTTTCCCTTTACTACATATAGGACTTCTCCAAAAACACCAAGTAGGTTTTTGCCTCACATACACAAAATGATAGGGAACTACCATCAAATTCTTCCTCAAAAAATAAATAAATACATAAAAAAGAATAATCTTCAGTAAAAAACCACTATTCCTCCATCTTTAGTCACAAATTATTTTTAATGTTAATAATGAAAAATTTCTAAACTTCAGAAAAATATTTTGAAATCCAGTGTCAATTTTGGTAATAATTTTTAATTACTTTCAGTCTTAGACAAAAAGTCATCATATTTTGGAACTTTATGCAATCCATATTTCTATGTCTAGTAGTCCCTTTCTATGATATTAGGAACGCAAAACCAGCAGCAAGACGTCTTTCTGCCCAGTTGTCACAAATTGGTTCTGAATCCAGACAAGTACTTTGGAACCCACGTATTTGTGACTTTCTCAGCAAATGATGAGCAATAGTTGTAAGGATCCTGGGTGTTCATCTCTTGAATTTCTTCAAGTCTTTGCTCAAGTCCCATCTCTCAACCAGATCTCCGCTGACCACCACCTCACACTGCTTCTTCCTCCCTCATAAGCCCCTGGACCTGGGAATCCCAGTCCTTACCCTGGGTGGGATAGTCAGAGAAATGTCCACACACCTTTTAATGTTCCTGTTCTCAAGAGAGAGAATTTTGTACCCTTCCTGGAGTGTGGTTCAACTCAGTGACTCTTTGGTGAATAAAATGTGGCTGAGGTAATGGGATGTCACTTATAAGATTAAGTTATTACAAAACTATGGTCCTTTCTCTCTCTCTCTCTCTCTCTCTCTCTCTCTCTCTCTCTTATTTGCCTTGGATGATGCAAGTTGATATTGGAGTCCTCTCCATATCAACTGGACTGCTGTGAGCAGTCCAATGCAGAGGCTTGCTTTGTGAGATAACAAAACCTCCTGCCACTAGCCATGTGAGTAAGCTTCAAATGACTCGGGCTGACCACATGACTTCATCTTCATGGATGTCAGCCTCATGAGAAACCCTGAGCCAGAACCACCCAAGAAATTACTCCCAGATTTGTGATCTTCTGAAATTTGTGAGATGATAAATGTGCATCATTTTCAACCGCCAAGTTTTGAGATAATTTATTGCATAGCCACAAATAACCAATATGGTGAAATTGTTTTTTTTAAAAGAAAATATTCCACAAGCTATCTTTAACAAATTAGTTCTACTTTACTGGATAACTAGTGGAAACCTGTGAATGGTGAACAATTAAAATATAGTAGTGTGACTATAGAACTAAATTTTCAGTTTTAATTAATTTAATTTGCCACATGTGGCCAGTGACTACAGTATCTAATTGTGCTTTATTAGATCATTGACTTATTTTTTTATTGTCTGATTTCTCCATCTAACACAGAAGAGTTTGCTCTGTATTATTATTATTATTATTATTATTATTATTATTAATTATTTTGGTGCTTGGGTTTGAACTCAGGGGCACTCAACTACTGAGCCACATCCCCAGCCCTATTTTGTATTTTATTTAAAGACAGGGTCTCACTGAGTTGCTTAGCACCTCACTATTGCTAAGGCTGAATTTGAACTTGCCATCCTCCTGCCTCAGTCTCCTGAGCCCCTGGGATTACAGGTGTGCACCACCATGTCCAGCTGATCTAAATTCTTGTATGCAGAGATTTTTGTGTTTCTTTATAAACGTAATCAAGTGCCTAGAGTAGTGTCTGGCACCTAGAAGATATTCCATAAATATTAAAAGAATATGTCAAGAATATTCAAGAATGTCTCAATTTGGGCAGCAGTAACAAAAATGCCATAGAAGACATTTATTTTTCACAATTCTGAAGGCTTGGGAAGTACATAATAAAGTTCCTAACTGATTCAGTTTTTGGTTAGGGCTCTTCCTGGTTGCAGAGAAAAGCTTCTTGATTAATTCTTACATAGTAGGCAGACCATCTCTCTCATTTCTCTTTCTTTCTTTTTGTCTTTTTTCCATGCTAGTAATGGAAACCAAGATCTTGTTCTTTTGGCAATCACTCTACCACTGAGTCATGCCCCAAGCTGTTCCTATGTCTCTTTTTAAGGGCACCAATTCTATCAAGAAGACTTCACACTCAGAACTTAATTATCTCTAAAAGGTGCCATTGCTAAATACAACTACTTTGAGAATTAAGTTTCAACATAGTTGTCTTGGTTTATTTTATGTAGTTATAACAAAATACCTGAGGGTGGATAATTTATGAAGTGAAGAGGTTTATTTTGGGGCATGATACTAGAGATTGAGAAGTCCAAAAGTATGGCACCCACAGCTGTCCAGCTTCTGGTAAGGTCCTCCTGCTGATCCAACTCATGGAGAAAGTAGAAGGGCAAGCAAGTACATGACAAAAGAGACCAAACCTCAGAGATAAGTAACCTGTTGCTATGAGAAAGGCATTAATCCATCCATGAGGGCTCCACTCCATGACCCAAACTCCTCTCCTAGGCCCTACCTCCCTACCCTGCTGTTGAAAAATTAGTGCTCCAACACACAGACTCTCAGTGGATATGCTCAAACTATAGCATTGTTAATTTTAGAGGTACACAAACGATCAGTAACAGAGTTAATAAATGAGATGCAACTTGTATCATATTTCTGTCTTACATGTAATCAACTCTGCAACAATCTCTAAGGTCTCAGTTTTTCTGGATTTAAGTTTGGGTAGGGGGTTGAATATAAGACTTATGAATATCTTTTCTACACTTGAAACTATACAATTGTGTCTCCTCTGAAATGACATCTTTTTTTAAGCAACATTTAATCTGTTGCTCTTCTTTGGCTGAATGAAACATCCAACAGATGTCTAGATAATTGAAGTCCCCAACCACTAATAATTTCTGCTCCAGTTTTGTTCTCTGTATTGGGCAAGGAACTATCATCCCAGCCTAACTTTGATTAAGATGGTCCTGACCAGTACTATACTTATGTCATATCTCTTCCACTCTCATCCACCTGCTCTCTACTTCATGTGTACACTGTTTTGTGAATTTTTATATAAGTATCTCCTTGGCACATAATTCCATATCACATGATGCTGCTTTTAAATAGATTATCTTTCCATTTCCCTTGCCCAGTCTTGTGTTCCACCACCTGGTGATTTTTGTGAGACCTGGGTTATTACTTTTTGTTGTTGTTGTTGTTAACAATCACTATAAATAAAGACATCTAGCTGGGTGTGTTTGTGCATACCTGTAATCCCAGTGGCTGGGGAGGCAGAGGCAGGAGGATTGCAAGTTCAAAGCCAGCCTCAGTAATCTAGCAAGGCACTAAGCAATTTAGCAAGACCCTGTCTCAAAAAATTGGGGGGTGAGGAGGAGGCTGGGGATTTGGTTCAGTGATTAAGTACCTACCTCTTTGGACTAAAAAATAAATTTAAAAAATGTAAAATAAAGACATCTGAAACTCTATTCCTTTCCCCTGTTTTCTTTTAAGGTTTTTTGGGTCACTACCAATATTGACATTTTTCTATACTTACATGTATGTATTTTTATTACAGACTTTTGTTTCTTGGGAATTTTCTTCCCACCTCTGCATATCTTTGGAATCCACTGGACAAAATTGAGATGTTGTAAGTAAAAATGTGGCTTTCCACCATCATATTATTGATATAATTGCCTTTTACCAAAATCTCTTCCACATTCACACTCTACATTTGAAAAGAAGAGCAAAATCTCTCATATGTTGTTGTTTCTTATCAAGGACTTCAGTATTAATGGTGATATAATTCATATGTATTTTGTCTATGGTATCTAATTCTTCATGAAGTAGAAAAAAGAAGCAGAGAATAGTCAGCAGATTTGATTTTTGGTCATCTTTTCATGTCTCTGGGCACTTTGAAAGGTACATCTTAAACTTTCTAGGGAGAGAGATACAGAGTACTGTCTAGCTTGAAGAAGCTCCATACCCAGCACAAGAAAAGAGGAAACAACAACAACAACAAAATTCATCTGTGTCTCTCTGCCTTAAATACTTGTTAGTTTCCTATGTCATCCTCTTAGAATTATTAGAAAGGATTCATTATGATCAAGCATGTGTTTGCATTCACTTTATTATAATGTTTGAAAATTTGGATTTGTACTATGGGATAAGAAATAATGTTTTCTATTTTGCTGGTATGGGCCTATGTTTATTTTTCTCTTTTTCTTTTTATTACATTGTTTTATTTCAGATTTTGACTCTAGTTAATTTCCCTTCACTACCTTTGAATTTCTTTGCCTTTCTCACTTCCTTCCCAGATCTTATTTTTGTCTGGAATCTGTTCTATTGTTTCTAGAAAGGCAAAATCTAGGAAGAAATACGTCTAGAATTTATTTTCACTATTAAAGACATCAACCTGCATCAATAAAAAAATATAACTTACTGATTTTTTCAATTAATAATTCAAGCACATTACTCTCATATTGTAAATGAGATTCCAGCAATTAAACACATCACATTCTAAGACATGTATTCGTAGGTGATTTTGTCAATGTGTGAACTTTATAGAGTGTATTTAACAAAGACAGCTACAACCTTAGTAAGAAATTTCTATCTCTTGGACTGCCATTTCACGGCTGTATAATTTTCCCCAACTTTCTCATAAATTTCCATTGCAAGTTTTACTTCTTTGTCATACATTTTGCAAATGAAGTTCTTAGGAACCTGCTGTGGAACCCTTTCTGGACATTCTCCAAAATTCCTCATATAATCCCCATTGTTATTGCATGTTATATCTGTGGTTCCCAAACTCACGAGTGCAACAGAATCACATAGAGGATTTGTTAGGACAGAGTAAACACCTGGATCTGTGGGGCTAGAGAATCTGCATTTCTAACAACTTCCCAGGTCACACTTATACACAGGCCAAAGACCACATTTTGAGAGTCACTGGATTAGGGAGTCAGGAACTCATTAGCTCACCAGGCAATTCATGGTGCTGGCTGATTTTGGCAGGAAAAGAAATGATAGACTCCCTATGGCTCACTTGGTGGGAATTTTGCTACCATGGAAGTCTGCTTTCTAGATGTCTTGGCATATTTTGAGGAAGTTTCTATAAATGCATTCTTAATCTTCCTGCAACTTAACAATGTCAACAGGTCAATTTAAAATCTCCTTCATCAGCTCAGGTGGTGATCACAGAGGCATATAAATACAATGGGGAGCATGCTCAGTTTTTCTTGAGCCCCTCAGAGTATATGGAGCCCCCTTCAACCCTAGCTGACTTGTTTCATGATTAGGTGTCCAGTGTACGAAAAAAAATACAACACACTCACAATCTAACCTCTTATTTTCATTTGATCTCAAAATATCCCACTCACTCCACCCCCTCAAAACTCCAATGATAATTGGCAGCTTTATGCATATGAATGAGTTCAGTGATTTCAGGGATGTTTATATTCTAGAAACTCAAGCATTTAATTCTGGAAAACATTACAGAGCATTGCATTGTGGGCCTCAGCCAATCCACAAAGTCCCAGGACAGTATGTCCCAGACTTAGTTAGCAGTTTACCTGAGGGAATTGGTAGCATGAGCATCCAGCTCATGCAGGTATATGTTATTTAGACACTAGATGAATTTTAGAAGCTTCAAAAACAATTTGCAAGCCATTCAAATAGCAGTATCCACTTATGTAGTACAAATAGTAAATCATGAATCATTTCATAATTCTGTTTACTTTTATTTTGAATAAATGAAAGATGCTTTTTAAAAATTAGCAAATCAGCCCTGATCAGTAAAATGGCTCCCATTGTTTATTTTCTCTATTTTGCATTTACCTCCCCTTTCTATAATAGTGGTAATAAAAGTTACAAAGCAACCCTGGAACACTTATTAAGTGAAAAAGATATGGGCTAAAACGTCTGCGTGTATTATTATATTCATCTTACAAAAATCTTATGAAGTACATTCTATCCATATTTTGTAGGTGAGAAATTTGAGACTTAGATGGAGCAACTTGACTAAGATCACAAACTACTAAACAGCAGTAAAATAGGGATTTTTCTAACTCCCACCCTGACCTTTGCTCATTTGCTGTGAGAATCATGACATCTCTGCCAACAAAGGTGATTTTCTGGCTCTACTTCCAGGTTTTCCTAGGGTCCTTGTATAGAAAGAGCCAAAACATGTGAAGCCAATTTGAGTCCTCCCTGTCACAGGACAAAGCTGATTTGAGTCCTCCCTGTCATAGGACAAAGCTGGTAATCAATGATACTGGCTGAATTATAGAATGAAAGAGAATCAGTAGCAATTCTAAAAGAGAAAAACCCAAGTTAGTGGGTATCTTGTAGCCATAGGAGCCTGTTTTCTAGATTTCTTTGAACATTTTGAAATAGATACTAACTATAGCAGTGTTCTTAATCTTCCTAAAATCTAACCATTTCAGTAGATCAGTGAGGATTTTTCTTCTTTTTCCTGCTATTTGCCCTCCTCTTTGTTTCTAAAACAGAGAGGAAAATCAATTGAAATTCTTAGATATGGCTTTAGAATTTTTCATCCATAGATATTTTTCCCTTCCTGAACTTCTATTATTTAATCTATTGTTATTTGGCCTCAATGATTTTGTTTTCTCTGAGGTTAGAATTATATGGGAAATCCTGAGATTGTTTATATATAATTAAAAATTCTTTAGGAATAAAGGATTCATAAATCCTTATGTGTAACAACTGCTTCTAGTTTCCAAAAAAAGAAGCAAAGGTGGTAATAGTCCTTAGTTCCAAAAACAGAAAAGGGCTAAAAAGGATGTAAAATTGAGTATTTACATCTATAATCAAGACCAGAATGATACTTCTTTGTCATATTAAAAACACATAAAGGCCTGGAGTCACATTTTTTTTTTATTTATAAAAGTAGTATACTAATCCCTTCATTGTGACATAAATGTTAACTATAAATAACCTACAAGTATGATGAAATAATGTTTTAAAAATTATTCATTTGACAAAGTACTTTAACAAATATTTTCTTATTTGATTCTAACACAAAACTTGAGACAGTCTTCTTCTTCTTCTTCTTCTTCTTCTTCTTCTAATATTTTTAGCTGTAGATACACACAATACCTTTACTTTGTTTATTTAGTTTTTTAAATGTAGTGCTAGGATATGAACCCAGTGCCTTATACATGCTAGGCAAGTACTCTACCACTGAGCCACAACCCCAGAGAGACAAACTTCTTTATAGAGTATATGACGCTAAGAGAGGTTAAATGACTTACTTAAGATTATAGGACTAGTACTTAAATACTTAGGTATTCTTAGCCTTTTCCATATACTGTACTGCTTCCCTGTTTTATTCTCTAAAAAGAGCTCAAAGGAGAAAACACACATTTAGCTTTATAAGTTCAATATCATATAAATGAATAAATATATTCAATACAATAAAAATTTTGAATCTTAAGGATCATTTTTCATATGGTTATAATCCTAATATCTTCAGTACTCTGTGATTCTCTGTTAAGCTATGGCCTCACATTTACTTCAACAAACATTTTAGACAATATTGACTTATTTTAGGTGGTAGACATTCTGGAGCTCCTAGTGGGTGACTACAATTACCCTTTTCTAAAGCTATCCGGTTTACAATCAGAATCTAACACGTCTTTAAACATGAGTTAGCACGTATTTACTATGATACTTTTGAGTCAAATTTTAAATGGCAAATCAGTTCTAGAACACTAATAATTTTAAAAAGGATAGAAAAGAGAGATTGTGCACATAGCATAAGATCCATACCTTTAAAATGTACAGGTCAGTGATTTTTAGTGTATCCATACATTGCATAACCAGAATAACTACTTCTAGAACACATTAACCATTACAAAAAGAGATCTTGTACCCATTAGCAATCACCAGCCATTTATCCCTCTCTCTTCCCCCTGTGACTATTAATCTATTGCTGTATCTGTGGACTTGCTCATTCTATACATTTCATATAAATAAGATATTCCACTATCTGGCTTCTTTCACTAAACATAAGATTTTCAAGATGTATCTATGTTGTTGCGTGTGTCAGTATTTCATTCCCTTTTATGGTGGACTAATCTTCCACTGTATGTGTACATCACATTCTGTTAATTCCTTCAATGGTTGTTAAATATTCAGGTAATTTTCATACTTTGGATACTGTAAAAATATTTAGTGAGCGCTTAAAAAGATGGTGAATTCTGTCATTGTTGGGTGGCATATTCATTATGGGGTTGTTAAGTCTGGTTGGTTTGTAGTGTTGTTCAAAGCTTCTATTTTCCTGCTGAATTTCTCTTTCATTGTTCCATCCATTTTTGAAAGGGGAGCATTAAAGTCTCCATCTAATATTTTTAAGATTTTTATTCCTCCCTTCAATTCTTTCAGCTTTTGTTTCATGTATGTAACGGTTGTCAACAGGACTGGATTAAGAGATGCCAAGCATTAGGAGTCTTTTGGATGTGTCTAGGAATTATTAGCATGTGGAATAGCCAACGGAAATGGAGACCCTCCCCAGGTGTGGGCAGCACTGTCCAATAGGATGATGGCTTGGTTGAAATGAAAGTTGGAAGAACAGGGACGTAGCAGCAGATGCAAGCTCCATTCATCTGGAAGGGGTTCTTGATTACTGCT